TCCTGCTGCAGAACGGTTGTGACCCTGACTGTAAAAATCAGGATGATGATTCTGCATTGGTTGCAGGTGTGGAACGCAGTGCTATTTTTAGCATACAGAATGCTTAGTAAGCGAAGCCCACATTCCTCATTTAAGATTAGAACTGCAAGACTTTTTTTTTTTTTTTTTTTGGGAAAAAGATTGAAGTGCATTGTTATTTTAATTCATGATAAATGAATTATGTAAATGTAAAAACGTATTGCGCTTCAGTCTAAATTGTGTTCCTTTAGCATTTGGTGAAGTTTAGCACCCAAGACAAGAAACTTAATCATTTAATAACACTGTTAAATGCAAATCTCAAAATACATTTGCAGTTGATGCCTAAATTCACTTGTAGCATTTAAAGCAGAAGTTCTCAACCAGGGGTCAGGGGTCATGGTGGCCTTAGGATGACTTCAAATGTTAATTTAAATTGATATTAGAATTATTTAAAAATGTATAATTTTATTTTAAATTTTACATTTATTTTAAATGTAAAATTATATATTTGGTTATATAATGGTCATATATTTTGAATATTTAAAATTATTTGCTTAATTTTAAAAGTGTGATTTCTATATCTGGAAAAGTTATGTAAAATAACATGATCCAAGCTCTAAATATTTCATCAGATAGAAATTGTGAGTAAAATATTTAAAAAATCATCATTTGAATATTTTGGAAAATAAGGGGCCTTGAGAACCACTGATTTAAACAGATTGATTTTCATTTGTAGTGTTTTAGTTTTATATTTAGTAGTCAAAATAGTGTAGAACTTAATAAAATTGATTCAACATTAAAATAATTATCTTATCAGTATTGGCCTGAATACATGAATTGCCTTTTTTTCCAGCCATAAAGAATGACCAGTATGACCTGGCTCTGCTGCTGCTACGTTTCAATGCCACAGTGGACCAAAAAGGAAGTCTTCAAAGAACCGCTCTGCATGAAGCATCCGTGCTTGGCTTGGATAACTTTGTATACCTACTCCTACAATCTGGCGCTGACCCAAATGTCATTGACATCTGTGAACATACTCCTTTAGGACTTGCAGCTCAAGCTGGACATTTTAACGTTGTAGAGATTCTGCTTCAGAAAGGTGATTTTGCAATCTATCTATCTGTCTGTCTATATATCTATCTAATCTATATCTGTCTATAATGGTCTGTTTGGCATTGATCACTTGTCATAACATTTAATGACCCGCTCATCTTCAGGGGCCAGTGTGTGGTCCAAGCCTCATTCTCTTGGTTCAGCGTCAGTTTTATTCGACGCTGCGGCTTCTGGAAACCCCGATATCATTTCACTGCTGCTGGAGTATGGAGCCGATCCCAACGTGCCCACCCACACCGGCCATCTCCCCATCCACCGTGCAGCCTACCGCGGACATCTGCTGTGAGTACCACCCTGCTGATGGGTTAATCAATGTAGTGTTTACCCTAAAAAAACCTCTGTTTGTGTCTTTCATAGAGTGCTGGAGCAGCTGATCCCTGTGACTAAGAAAGAGGTGATCAAAGAGAGCGGCATGAGCCCGTTACACTCCGCCGCTGCAGGCGGTCACTCTCAGTGTCTGGATCTGCTCCTGAGCTCCGGGTTTGACCCAAACTTCATGCTACACCCCAGAGTGCGCAGGAACTATGAGGATGAACGCAGGTCAGCGCTGTTCTTCGCTGTGTCGAATAACGACGTGCAGTCAGCGAGGCTGCTTCTGGAGGCTGGGGCCATGCCCAATCAAGACCCTGTCAACTGCCTGCAGGTGGCCATGCGACTGGGCAACTACGAGCTAATCAACACTCTGCTCCGCTACGGTGCCAATGTGAACTACTACTCCCGTGTCAACACCACCCACTTCCCTTCTGCCCTTCAGTATGCACTTAAAGATGAGGTGATGCTGCGTATGCTGCTCAATAATGGCTATGATGTGCAGCGCTGCTTTGACTGCCCATATGGACAGGCCTCACATGTGCCCGTGGATTATGAGGGATGGAGCGCTTCTGTCATCAGAGATGTTGTGGTAAGACCAGTTAATGCTCACTTTTCAGTGTCAAGGGGTATGATCTGATCTTGTTAAAGGACTAATGTACCCAAAAATGAAAATGAAAATTCACTCACCTTAATGTGTTATTCCAGACTAAATGTGTTATTTACAGTCTATTCAGCAAAGACACATTAAATTGATCAAAAATGACAGTAAAAACTTTTATGTTACAAAAGATTTCTGTTTCAAATAAATGCTGTTCTTCTGTTCTTTCTATTGATCAAAGTATCCTGAAAAAATCATGGTTATCTACAAAAATATTAAGCAGCACAACTGTTTTCAACATTGATAATGATAAGAAATGTTTCTTGAGCACAAAATCTTAATATCAGAATGATTTCTGAAGGATCATGTGACACTGAAGACTGGAGTAATGGCTGCTGAAAATTCAGCTTTATGTCACGGGAATAAATTACATTTTAAAATATATTACAGAATTGTAATAATATTCCGCAATATTACTGTTTTACTGTATTTTTGATCAAATAAATGCAGCCTTGGTGAGCACACGAGACTTCTTTCAAAAGCATTACGAACACTTTTGAATGATAGTGTATAACTTTGTCTACAAAATACAAAAGCACATATTTTGAAGAACATTTAGGCCTAAACAAAAATCCCATTGACTTAAAAAAAACAGACATTTTAAAGAATGTCTTCTTTTGTGATGAAAGAAAGGCAAACAGGTTTGGAGCAACATGAGGGGGAATCAATGATGACAGAAGTTTCATTTTTGGGTGAACTGTTTCTTTAAGGTACCTGCTGTAAGTCTAAACTCATTTTTTGTGCAGTTCTGTGAGGTGATCACTGTGTACTGGCTCAAGCACATCTCAGCCCAAGTAGTGAGAATCATGTTGGATTATGTTGATCATGTGACTCTCTGCTCCAAACTGAAGAGTGTTCTGGTTGAACAAAAACAGTGGCCGGAAATATGTAAGATACAAGGTAAGTCTCAAGTCACACCTTGAGAGCATGTTCTTTATTCTGTTCATGTTTATCTTTAGTTAGATCCAGACAAACGTTAACTTGAAATTCTCAGTAGACCTAATGTATAGTTCCTAAATGTGCAGTGTTATACTTGTCGTAAGTGATCATGTATACTTACATTAAAATGCAGCACATTCCAGAATGTATTTATGTATGTTCTCTGCTCATCAGAAAATGCTCGAAGCCTGAAGCATCTCTGCAGACTGAAGATCCGTGACTGTTTGGGTCGCTTGCGTCTGAGGGCTCCAGTTTTTATCAGTTTCCTGCCTCTGCCCGCCAGTCTCAAAGACTATATTCGCTTCACAGAGTATGATATTTACAGCAGAGGAAGTATGCCTGAAGAGTAAAACCAGATTGATAAATCTGTACAAGAGAAGCTGCTGTAACAAAACTTTATAAATGTACACTTTTTTATTAAAAAAGCCTTGTGAAATATTCATTTGTGTTTAAAAAAAATAAGACACAGTGGATCAACTATATATTACCTTTTCTCTTAATTTACTATGCTGATAATATTGCTACTATAAAAAGGGGGGGGGGGCATTTTCACTAGTAGACCCCAATGTACGTGAGTTGTGAGAATATGTGATTTGAATAATGCGTGTTTATTATGTAATCTATGTATCAATCTTTTTCATTCATGTTTTGAACTCGTGATCATTGCACGAAATTCGTGAAATGACCTAGCTAGTTGAGCACAAAGGGCTCGTGATGATTCTGGGTGTGAGGAAGAGTGACTTTCCCCAAACAGCTATTGTTGATAATGTTGATTGATTCGTTCTTGGCACCGATTCTCTGTGGACTTGCTCTCACGCGCCAGCGATCAGAGCTCACCGTCATGACGTCTAGACGCTGCGCAGTTCACAGCAGCGCCGCTGGGGGGCGTCAGGCTGCGTGAATGTAAACAGAGTGACGCCAGAGTTTTGCAGTGGTGGGGAAGGCATACGTCACAGGCATAATGGCGGAGGCTGGTTGAGAAGGAGAATTACTCCGTGAAGCGGCACTGAAACCAACTTCATCGCCAGCTGACAAGGTGACCGCTGGTCCGAAAAATGGCTAGCAATTTCAGCCAGGAGAGAAAAATCGACAAGGAGAGCAGCAAAGCCGGCGACCTAACCTTGGAGGATGGCGATAGCAAGAAACAATTGTTGTCAGCCTCTAGCACGGCCACATCCAAGCAAAATGGCGATCAAGCTGGACGTGAAGACGAGCAAATGTCTGAACAAGATGCTTCTGAGCGACGGAAGGCAGGGCTGTCGGACCTAAAAAACTGCGGCGGTTTGCCTTCGACACTACCGCGGTCGGCCGAAGAGCTGCCAAGGAGGAATTTTCAGATTCCGAGGAAAATCAAGGAGCGGAAAGGTTGTGTGTCCCATTGCTACCACCACTACTATGTTACGGCCATTCCCGAAATGCACTGTTTCTGTTTCACAGCCTGCAAGTTCGCTAAAAGCTCGCTGCTTACCGCTTCGGGTCAAATTACTCGAGCTGTATTGATAAGTAACCAGGGGATCTACCGGTATATAACGCACCGAAAGGTTTGCGCTACTGGTATTTAATGAATTTTTAGTTAAGTTAGTGCACTGCTCAGAGCTGCAGGAAATAAAGTCGTGCGCTCTCGAGCAGCACGTGAGGATCCGGTTCCTTTCACGCGCCCGCGCGAGTCGTTTAACGCAAACCTCGAAGACACGGTGCATTTTTGTCCCACTTTTGTTAACCTCACGGAGGCCGATGTCTTTGCTAGCTGGCTCCACACTCCTCCTCCCACACCATACAGTGCTGCCACACCACATGACACACTTCTTCCCTCCTCATCAATGGCAGCAGTGTGATTCCGTTGACCACTGCATTTCTCCCGTCAGTCTTTACGCACGACTGTTAGAAACACCTGTCAGTCCTGTACAACCAGCCTTATTAGGACGCACAGCGCCAAATCTTTATTAAATCTTGTAAACAGAAGAACGCTGCTTGAATGAAATCGAAAGTGTGCTAAACTGGGAGGTGTTTGTGGTAGTTGTGCATTACAGCGTTTCCTTTGGCATTTGCTGGCGTTAGTGCAAGTTTTTTTTGTTTGTTGGTGCTCTATATCAGGTTTTATCGAGTAAGACCCTAAATTGTTTTCTAAACAGCACTTTAAACTCCAGTTTATGTCGTTTTTTAAATGTTTTTATTAGTCAATCGACAAAGCCAATTTGTTTGGCTCTCATGGGCGTTAATTGACCGATTAATGCAAGCTCTAAAATATTCGATGGCTTTGCTAATTGATTATATGAACATTTTCTGATTTGTTTTATCAAATTTTTAGTAATTATTGTGAAATGTTATTTTTTGTGTCTCATTTTGGCAGGATTATTTTATGTACATTTCAACATAACACCGTCAGGTATTGAAAAACCCATTTAATGCACTGAACTGCAAGATGTATCGCATTTTGCAAAGTGTCTGTCAGGTTATGTATGACTCAACTATGCATTTGAATTAAAATAAAAGCACAATTTTTTCCCCCTTATGCGCTTGACAGTTTCTTATTTGAATGCATTGATGTCTATTGAGCTCTGTCCTTCACGTCTGTTGTCCTTCAGGTCTCCTTCAACACTTGTCTCCAGAATCCAGAGAGTTTGAGGAAGTTGTGAAGCTTCTGTCCACGTTCTACTTGGACGCCACCTCCCGTGGGACTTTCACCTACACCAAAGCATCTCTCATTCACAACGAGCTCTTGGAGAAAGAGGTGAGTGCTGAGTGAAGTTAATTAGTTGATGCTGATGAACAGCATTTTTGCTTGCTTGTAAAAGACTAGATGATTGAAAATGTCCTCGGGCCACTTGAGGGCTGTTTTCATTGAATCAAATAATGATATGGTATCATGATTTATGTCTTTTTCATAGTTCATCGAGAAGAAAAGGGAACTGAAGCAGAATGGCAGGACAGAGGCAGAACTCGCAGAATCCTATGCTTTTCTGCTGCCTGAGAGGAATAAGGTGAGGCTGTGTTAGTTTTCCTTCGTGACACAATGTCTGATCTGTAAGATTTTATAACCTTAGAGGCATAGTTCATTCAAAAAATTGTAATTTACTCACCCTCATGTTGTTCCAAACCTGTATCAGTTGAACACAAAAGAATATATTTTGAAGAATGTGGGTAACCAAACAGTTGCTGGTAGCCATTGACTTCCAACAGTATTTTATCCATTCTTTGGAAGTGAATGGCGACCAGCAACTGTTGCGTACCAACATTCTTCAGAATATTTTCTTTTGTGTTCAACAGAAGAATAAAATTCATACAGTTTTGAAACAACATGAGGGTGAGTAAATGATGACAAAATATTCATTTTTGAGTGAATTATCCCTTTTATATTGACAGTTATTAAAAAGTTATTGTACTTTATACTTGTACTTGTTTATACTGAGTTATTGAAAAGTTTATAATGTATTTACTACATAACTGCCACAGTAATTACACTTGTATCAGTACTTTGAATCAAATATAGCAGTGCAAGCATTGTTCTGATTTAAACTGAGTAAAATAATTATACATCTTTATGAGACTGTGGCTCCTTCTCTGAAATTTAACAGCTAGATGATGCAATGTCTCATCGTCTTGTCTAATTATTTATCAGGACATACAGTGTAACATGTAAATGGAAATGTGAGATTAATAATTCTGTACCTTGAAAAGGTTTTAAATGGCATCTTTCAGTGATAGTCTTGGTCAAAAGCACGACTGTAATCAAAGCAATATCTGCTCGACTTTACCAGGCTCACTGGATCTGCGAAAAGGGTCTTTCTGTTGGACATTCGCGGATCAACAATCTGGGAAGCCCTGTCAAAGGTGAGTGCTTCTGAAGAGTCTGTTTATATCTGTTTGGCTGTAATCATTTGCCTAGGAGGGGATTCCTGGGAGGACTCTGGTCACTGGTTTCTGGTGGTTTGGAGGAGTTGAATTGGTCCGGGCCAAAAAGACCGCTGCTCCACAATTTCTTGTGATCGCTAGGCCAAAAAAATGTTAATGACCCAAACTCGCTACAGACATTCATTTTTGCGTGGATACACATTTTGTAAAGTAACATCTGTTTTTTATATTGGTCACCCCTATTACTACTTTCTATTTTCAGAGCATGTTTGAGGTTTTGGAAGTAACAATGTTCATTTTGTTCTTGGCTGAGTGATCAGCTAATTTCTGATTCATGATTATCTTTGTATAGTTTAGTGAAGCAGCTGCTGTGCGTTTTCACAAAACTAGCATCTTGTGAATGTGACTAGGGTTGCTTTAACTGGTGAAATGAAATAGTTTCTGCAAATATTTAATCTTAGTAAACATAGAATGCTCTGTGCAGAGACTCAACAAATTTCTTGGGATTACCCCAAGGCTTTTTGTGGCTCTCGGGAATGTCGCCCCAAGTAACTCTCATATCCTTGATTGCTGCTTTTTCTATTTTTTAGGGGTTTACCTATCAAAATACTCAGATTTGTTACAAATGAATCCATTTGAAGTGGGTGCTGCTGGAGACATAATACTATTTAAAACCATGAAGGTAAGTTATTGATGGAGTCTAACATTTACACATCAATTCTGACTTTGAGGTAGTGCTTTGTATTTATAACACATAATGTCACAATGGTTTCAAAAACAGTAGTGACCTTTTGTCTTATTCTGCAGGGTAAAGTGAAGACAATATTTGACAACATGCCCAAAAACAATCTTGAGCCGAACCTTAAATATGACAGCCATGTTTTCAAAAATGCCAACAAAGTGACCTCATTATTGTCCTATAGGGCCTTTGAGCACACTCAGGTAAGTGTTTCATTTATTTTTCAGTATTTTGTTTTGCATGATTTGTACAGATAGTTATTTCCCTCTGTGTTTTATTCCAGCAATACTTCTATGAATTTGCGTTTGAGGAGCTAAAGTCAAGGCCCAGGCATGTGTTGCCATATGCGGTTGTGTCTTTTCAGTACAAAGGCAAAGAGTCAGCCACAGCCACACACAGGTATGAACAAGATCACTGATGATGTGCATAGAAAGTGTATTACAGTCTGTTGTGGTTTTATTTAAATTTTGAACGGTTTGTTTCCTCTTTTAGTAGATTAAACAGCACGTTATATGAAGGGCAAAGAGGTATGACTTGTTTTTTTTCTTCATAGCAGTCTAATAAAATGATCAGATTGGTATTTTATTCAACTTATTGTGTTATTACTTAATTTGTTGCTTTAGTTCGGCGAAGATATACACTTTGGAGTGGCTCGCTGGTGAATAAGGGAGAAGAGGTCTATCAAGTTTACATGCGGTCTTCAAGTCTCCCTCACCTTCCACTTAAACTGTGAGACTCCTTTCTTTCGATAATAAAGTTGAACAAATATTTTGTGCATTGTTTTTAAATTGCTGTTGTTTTTTTCTTTTTCAGCCCAGACAAGCTTGACATTAATATGGCTATGCATCTCGATCAAGTAAAGAGAAAGATCCCGCCCATTCTGCTGTCTTGGGAAGCGTACAGTGGGTCACGAGAGGGTAGGATGAGTACCAGTGATGCTTTTCAGCACAACATTTGATGAATCGGTATTGACATGATAATGTGTTGTATTTTTCAGCATTTAAGTGCGGGATGTACTGCAGCCTGTATGAGGTCATGGGAAGGAGTAAACAAGAAAACAGTCTGTCGGGACTGATGCACCGGCTTGAGAGAGAAAGAATGGTGAGCTCATTCACAGCCCACTGTACGCTTTATTGAATTAATGTCCACAGCTTTACTCTAGCAGGGCGTCACTGCCAACCCTCTCCCCTGTATACCACGTCTTCAGTCTGTTGATAGAATCTGTGTCACTGATCTGATATGCAGAATTTAAACTGCCCGTGTTTTATTATAGTCATGCTATAATTAAACTCTTCACTCTAGGTTTTGGTGAAGCCATTGATAGACAAAGGATTTCTCTTCCTCCTTTCGTCTTCTCAGTTGCACACTACCACCGGTAGGTTTTTGCGCAGCTTTTAACCACATATGTGACACTGACAGTGTGATTCTTGCGTGGAATAACAGAGACCGTCTGTTTTTTGTTTCTTTAAAGAGCGGCGAGGAAGAAATGACAGGGTTTTGCAGGCGCTTTTTGTATTTCAAGAGCAAAGAATCACCTCGAAGTTGAGTAAGTGTCTCTTTTATGCTTATTTATTGAAGTTTCTTTGTTTTTACTCTTCACTTGTTTACTTTCACTGATTTCTTCTTTTGCCTTTTAGTTTTGAAGAACTCTGGAGTAGATGAGGACCTTCTTGTTCCATTAGAGCCTAAAGACCCAATCAGCCATCAGCTAGATAATTTTATACCCGCCCTGCATCATGGCCTCTTCAAGCTGCGTGCCAATCCACCCAAAGAGCTCGCGGCGGGACTGAAACACCAGGTGCTGGACTACCTCAACCAGAAAGAGCAAGGTGTCATACGGCCTTTCCACATAGTAGAGTACCGGCACAGTTTGGATAACCGGACTAACCAACACCAGGCACCTCGTCCTAAAAATACGGATTTGGCACTGAACTCTTACATATATGGTCCGGTACAGTTCCAGCTGCCTGTGGAAGTGCTGCAGCAGGGTCTGATGGACAGCCAACAGGGGGCAGTGTCTCCCCCAGCAGGCGCAGAAGAGTACAGTCCTGTCTCAGACTGGGGAGGGTCAGATAGACAGGCACCGGGTAGCAGCACGATTGGGGTTTCTCAGTCTAATGGCGGCGCTCAGAGGTCACAGGGAGAGTATGACAAAGAAAAGATGGAGAAATTGCTAAAGCTGATACAGTTACATAAGCGGACTTTGGGCAAGGAGGAGGGGAGCGGGTCTGAAAGAGAAGAGGACTGGGACCCTGCTGGCCTGAAGAGGAGGCTGGAGAGGGAAGGTCCTGGGGGTGTGAGCAAGTACCTTAGGACGGGTCTGCTGAATGGAGAGCCAGGAAGAGGTGAGTCTGCGCCCAACTAATGTAAAGGAATGTACAACATGATTCTGGAAACCCTTTTTGTGAAATTTGGAAAGGACTGGAAAAGTTTGAAAAATCTGAAAATATAGTCTCATTAGGCTCTGCTTTAAAATTTTATTTTGAATTAAATTCATATTTTTTATAAAAATGTTTTTTAATTTATTATATTATTTGAAAAAATAATTTTCTTTCATAACAAAGATGTCATGTTATGTCTTACTTTCAAATGTTTTTTTTATTTTTTACATTTTTCCAAAAGCTAGTCTAAATTTAAAAGCTAGTTTAAGTCTAAATTTAAGAAAAAACATTTTATGTAACAAGTGATTATGAACGAAAAAGCGTAATACAGCTTTAGAAAAAATAGTTTCTAGACCTGCATATGAATCTGCATATGTGACCCTGGACCACAAAACCAGTCATAAGAGTCAATTTTTCGAAATTGAGAATTATACATCATCTGAAAGCTGAATAAATAAGCTTTGTTTTCGTTTGTTAGGATAGGACAATATTTGGCTGAGAAAATCTGGAGTCTGAGAGTGCAAAAAAATCAAAATATTGAGAAAATCTTTTCATGTGGACAACCTTTACAGTTGTCCAAATTAAGTTCTTAGCAATGCATATTACTAATCAAAAATTAAGTTTTGATATGTTTACGGTAGGAAATTTAAAAAATATCTTCATGGAACATGATCTTTACTTAATGTCCTAATGATTTTTGGCATTAAAGAAAAATCTATAATTTTGACCCATACAATGTATTTTTGGCTAATGCTACAAATATACCCCAGCGACTTAAGACTGGTTTTGTGGTCCAGGGTCACATAAGAATACTGATCTTTTATTTAGTGCTGTAAGTAAAGGTGAAAAGCATAGGAAGTTCCTGTACATCACTAATATTCAGAAGCTAAGTTTTTATTTGTCCCTAATAAGAGAGTAGGTGCTGTATCTACTCGCACAATAGAGTGTGACTGCAGTTGCTCAGAGACATGAGATCCTTGTTGACATCTGTTTTCCCTTTCTCTTAGTGGTGATGGACAGCATGGGGCTGTGTGACACAGACCTGCGGGAGCGCATGACTCAGAGTCCCACCCTCCAGGACACACATGCCTTGCTTAAACTCTTCCTCAGCACGCTCAACAGGATGGCCCAAAACTCTACCACTGCCAGCAGCCAGCCTGCGATGCTCCCCAAAACCGCAGAGAGACACGACCCCAGTGACTCAGCCGCCCACTGTGATCTTGACCTGCGTGGCAGGCGTGCTGATGAGGAGCAGGTTAACCAGGATTACTTGGAGGTGTGGACTGTTCCTCATGATATATCTAATGCTACACTCAATCGTTATTTTTGCTAACCTGTAGTATGTGTGTTTAGGAGCAGATGGCCTGCAGCAGGAGCAGTATGGATGTGTACAGTCCCTCGTCCAGTCTGGAGCAGCAGCCCTCTCGTCAAGCAGAAGCCTCACATCAGAGCCACCATCTCTGGAGAACGTCCACCAGAGGTCTGGCCTCATCTGCATGCTTGCAATGCAAACTTTTCTTTTTATTATTCTTATTATTAACTTTAAATATAACACAGACTTCTTATTAATATCCATTACTGTTCAAAAGTTTGGGGTGGTAAAATTTTTAAAATGTTTCTGAAAGACTACATTTTTTAAATAAAAAAACACAGTAAAACCGTAACATTGTGAAATATTTTTATGATTTATAATAACCCTTTTCTAATATAATGTGTTTTAAAATATCATTCATTCCTGTAATGGAAAAATATTTCCTTCAGAAATCATTCAAATACACTAATTATTCTCAAGAAGAATTAATTATTATTATCAACGTTAAACAGTTGTTCTGCTTAATATTTTTGTAGAAACATCAAACTTTTTGATGAATAGAATGCATTTATTTTAAACAGAAATCTTTTGTAACATTATAAATGTCTTTACCGTCACTTTTGATCAATTTAATACTTCGTTGCTGAATAAAAGCAATAATTTCTTTAGAAATAACCCAAACTTTTAAACAGTAGTGTATAACATATAATCTAATCAAAGTTATCATTATAGTTAATGTAATGTGCGTTTAAAATTTTGATTTTAAATATGCATTCTTTCAGAGTCACGTCTTGCAAAAACTTGCAAAACTCTCAAACTCTTGTACAGTACAGTACTTGTACATGTATAGTTGAAATAAATTGACCAAACTAATATACATACTCTGTTTTTAGAGGGTGTTGGTGAACCTTGTTTGAGTGGAGGGGAGAAGCTGGTACACTCTACACAGAAAGTAGTAGACACTATCCTCAACAGTGAGTTCCAGAACCTCTGCACGGGGATCCAGAAACTGATGGAGGACCAACATATAATTTACAACCATCAGCCTCCTTTGCCGCGATGTGAGGATCAGGCTAAATGGTCAAGCTCGGCATTCTCACCTTTTGTATCCAAATATGTCTCATCAATGCCTGTGCAGAGCTACGTTAACACACTCTGTGAAAAGATGAACCATTTGATCCGGGCTCCCAGGGCATCTGTACAACCCGTGGCTGTTGTGTCACCACCTGCTGTTGCCCCAGTGCCCGCCCCCTTGCCACCTGCTCCGCCCACTTCTGCCATGCCAGCTCCTGCCCAACCCACGCTGCCCTCACCTCCTGCTCATCCTCACACTAAAACACCATCTCCAGTGGCT